TCCAGCCCAACAAAAGTATGCAACAATTTTTTAAATAACTTTTTATCTGTTTGTTAATGTAATATAATAGAAAAGAATAAGAAAATGTTTTTCTGACTCAAGTTTGTTACCAAGTAATTGAGTAGTTATAGAAGGCAAAATTTTAAAAATTAAAAGTTACTGGTGGGGCAGAGCCAAGATGGCAGAGTGACTTGCTTCAGCTCTCCCCCAACCCCCACAAATTTCCAGCCCAAGACAACCCGGATGGTTGATTGGAAAGGTCTACTGCACCACACTGGGAGAGGAATGCAGCTCAGCATGGGTGCACAGGCAAAGATCAGGTCTCAGCAAACCTGGAGCAGGCCTCAGAGGACTGAATCATGGGCAGCTCTGGCAGTTTCCAGGCTTCTCAACCCACAAACACCAAAGACAACTTAGAAGGTCAGTAGGAAAAGTCTGTGACCTCAGTGAGAGAGAAGCTTGGTCCCAGCCCACTCCCTGTGCAACCCTGGGGCAGTGGCTGCTTCTGTAGCTTCCAGCCCACAGACTGAGGGGGAATCGAGTGGCTGATCAGAGGAGGATTGCGGGGATCTCTTTGCTGGTGCTGAGGCAGGATTTTCTTGCTTTGCCTATGCTTGGATCTGGGTCACAGTTCCGGGTGGTGATCCTGGGGTGAGAAGGAGCACTGGTGTGGTGGAGCTTGTGGTGGTGGAGAGGGAATCCTCCTCACAGTTCTAAGGCAGAAAAGAGTGCTTGTGGTCACTCATAGACCAGAGCCCAGGCCAGGAAAGGAGTAAACACTTCGCCCTTGATCATACCACCTTGGAAGAACTGAAAACTTACAGGTCCCTAGAAGTATCTCTGAAAACAGCTGCACAAAACCCCCGAAGGTTGGGACAGTACATTCTCCACACTGGAAGCAGACCCCTACCTTAACAAAGAGTTTAAAACTCAAGCAATTGACTGGAAACATGAGCAAAATGCACAAAAAAAGTCAGGCCATAGAATCTTTCTTTGATGACAAAGAAGATCAAAACATACAACTAGAGGAAGACAACAAAGTCAAAGTTCCAACACCCAAAGCATCCAAGAAAAATATGAATCTGTCCCAGGCCATGGAAGAGCTCAAAAAGGATTTTGAGAGGCAAGTAAGAGAAGTAGGGGAAAAACTGGGAAAAGAAATGAGAGTGATACAAGAAAATCATGAAAAACAAGTCAATAGCTTGCTAAAGGAGACCCAAAAAAATACTGAAGAAAATAACACCTTAAAAAATAGACTAACTCAAATGGCAAAAGAGGTCCAAAAAGCCAATGAGGAGAACAATGCCTTAAAAAGCAAAATTGGCCAAATGGAAAAGGAAGTCCAAAAGCTCACTGAAAAAAATAATTCCTTAAAAATTAGAATGGAGCAAATGAAAGCTAGTGAGTTTATGAGAAAACAAGACATTGTAAAACAAAGCCAAAAGAATGAAAAAATAGAAGACAATGTGAACTATCTCATTGGAAAAACAACTGACCTGGAAAATAGATCCAGGAGAGAGAACTTAAAAATTATTGGACTATCTGAAAGCCATGATCAAAAAAAGAGCCTAGACATCATCTTTCAAGAAATTATCAAGGAAAACTGTCTTGATACTTTAGAACCAGAGGGCAAAATAGAAATTGAAAGAATCCACTGATCATCTCCTGAAAGAGATTCCCAAATGAAAACTCCTAGGAATATTGTAGCCAAATTCCAGAGTTCCCAGGTCAAGGAGAAAATATTGCTAGCAGCCAGAAAGAAACAATTCACGTATCGTGGAAACACAATCAAGATAACACAAGATGTAGCAGCTTCTACATTAAGGGACTGCAGGGCTTGGAATATAATATTCCAGAGGGCAAAGAAGATAGGATTACAACCAAAAATCACCTACCCAGCAAAACTAAGCATAATCGTTCAGGGGAAAAAATGGATATTCAGTGAAATAGAGGACTTTCAAGCATTCTTGATGAAAAGACCAGAGCTGAATAGAAAATTTGACTTTCAAATACAAGATTCAAGAAAAGCATGAAGAGGTAAACAGGAAAGAGAAATCATAAGGGACCTATTAAGATTAAGGAACCTGTTTACATTCCTACATGGAAAGATATTTGTAACTCATGAGGCCTTTGTCAGTATTAGGGTAGTTGAAGGGAAAAAAATATGGATAGATAGAGGGCACAGGGTGAGTTGAAGATAAGGGGTGAGAAAGGATTTTATTGGGAGAAGGAGAAAGGGAGAGGTAGAATGGGGTAAATTATCTTACATAAAACAGACAAGAAAAGGCTTTTATAGTGGAGGGGAAGTGAGGGAAGGTGAGAGGGAATGAGTGAATCTTATTCTCATTGGATTTGGCTTAAGGAGGAAATACCATGGAAATCTATCTTACCCTACAGGAAAATAGGGGGGAAGAGGATAAGAGAGCAGGGAGATGATAAAGAGGAGGGCAGATTAGGGGAGAGGGTAATCAGAAGCAAATACTTCTGAGGAGGGACATGGTCAAAAGAGAGAATAGAATAAACAGGGGATGGGATAGGATGAACGGAAATATAGTTTTTCACAACATGACTACTATGGAAGTGTTTTGCATGACTGCACATATATAACCTGTATCGTGTTGCTTACCTTCTCAATGAGGGTGGGTGGGGAGGGAGGAAGGGAGAAAATTTGGAACCCAAAGTTTTAAAAACAAATGTTAAAAATTGTTTTCACATGCAACTGGGAAATAAGATATACAGGCAATGGGGTATAGAAATCTCTTCTGCCCTATAGGAAAATAAAAGAGGAAGGGGATAAAAGAAGGCTGAGAGATAGAATGGAGGGCAGATTAGGGGAAGGGGTATTCAGAATGCACACCATCTTGGGGTGGGGGAGGGATGAGATCGGGAGAAAATTTGGAACTCAATTTCTTATGGAAGTGAATGTTAAAAACTAAAAATTAATAAATTAATAAATGAATTAAAAAATTTTTTTAAAGTTACTAGATACCATACCAAAAGATAAGCCTACATTCATGACATGACAAAAACATTGTTATTGTTGTTTAAAATATTTCAGTAGCATACACCAAACTGGCTTCTCTTTCTTTAAATCTTTATAAATATGTTGGTAGGTGCCCAGCTCTTTATCCACATTTCAGCAAAATTACATGCTCCCATTTCTCATACAATGAACCAAATGTAGTTGTGTGACCTGGGTCATTATCTAAAATCAATAAGGCTCTAAGTGAAATATTGTTGTCCTTGCAACATCTTTCAAAAGCTAAACTAAAATAACTTGAAAACAATCTTCAAAAATAACTTTAGTCATCTATGCTTTGTTATTTGAACACCTGAGAACTAACAGCAATAAAGGATGTTGAGACTGATAAACAAGCATTGGTTTTAATTTTAAATCCCCCTCAGCACTATCTCCAAATAAAAGTGTCAGGTCATCTTTAGACCCTTGATATAGAGATTGAATTTTTTTCTTTCTTAGAAATGTGAGCTCTGGAAAGTATCTTTTGTCAGAATAAGCCTTTTTCATCCACATTAAAAATCTTTTATTTCCTTCAAAATATCAGGGTATTTAGCTACAGCATCCTCATTTGTACTGGCATTCACTACAGTAATTTTAACGTTATGTAATTTAACTTAATTTTTACAGCAATTAAACCAACCAATGCTTGCAGGAAAAGTTTCTTTACCTTTCACTTTATTTCTACTTTCTTTCACTTCCTTAAATATATCTGAAGTTTTTGTGTGAATGACTGTTATTCTAAGAACAATTAGGTTTTGAATGCAACATTTAATCCCTACAACTAAAAGATGCTCCATTTTTATCAATGTGACACTTCTATTCCTTACAGTTGTTTGCAAGCCACTAAAAACTCATGCAATTTTGCCTTTTTCTTTTTTTTTTCAATAGTCATTCTGATATCTCATCCTAGTTACTGGGACCACATTCATGCCATTAAATTACATCAACTTTTTGTTCTAACGTAATAACAAGCCTCTTACTTTTTGCATTGTCAGTATTTCCATCTGAAGTATTATTTCTTTTGTCCATTTTATTAGGGACTCTTTTAAAAAATTAAAATGACTGTTAGCAATAGGGTACATAGCACATCGCATCCACAGGAGACAAATGCAGACTGACAACATTGTGGTATGCCAAAACCTTTGATTAGCTCGCACATGTTACATTAATTGAATTTGAGTTTGCATTAAATACAACCTGGCATCATTCTTGTAATTAGCATTAAACTGAATTTCACATTATTTGAACTTGCATTAATCAAACCTAACTGTGCAATGGCCATACATGATTCCAGAGGACTAATGATGAAATGTGCTATCCATGACAAAGAAGTGTTAGATTTTAGGTATAGAATATAAACACACACACACACACACACACACACACACACACACACACACACACATATCCATTGACGGAATTTGTTTTGCTGGACCCTTCATATTTGTTATATAGAATTTGTTTTTCTTTTCTTTTTTCCCAATGGGTGGGGAGGTAGGAAGAAGAAAAAAAAATAGGTTTCTATTCATTTTTTTAATGGAGAAGTGGGAGGTAGTGCTACAGATATAGAATATTCCATGTACTTTTCAGATGAGGTCACTGTATTGTTAATTTTACTTAATTGTTTTACTTTGTTACAAGAGACCTCTCATGGAATGGGAGCAATCTGTAAATGTTTTTAATTCTAAAATAAAACACCTAAATAAGACTTTAAAAAGAAAGAAAAAAGAATAGGTTCAGGTAAAGCAGACATAGAAATGGAAGAAATAGATTACAATCAGAAGGAGAATTTCAGAGTCCAGTATCATGAAAATAGCACAATTATAGATGAGACATCCTATATATGACTATTCCAATAGATGGCTAAGGTAGAGTGAAGCTGTTAGGTGTGAAAGTTGAGAAGATAGATGAAATGGGAAGCCAAGCATTTGGGGGAGAGGGTAGTTGGCCATCAACGTGTATATTCAGTATGCTACCTTACCTTGTTAGTTGAGGTTTTGTAAAGAAGGTACACAATATGAGTCATGAGTTGTAGTATTACTGTAATTGTGGTATTATTTTCTAGATGGTAAACCATCATCTCTAGCTAGATGGTAAGCTACTTGTGGCAAGGAATGTTCTCCGCACTACTCTGCATCTCTCTCAATCCATGGTTCAGGCTCAAGGAAGGCACTTAAGTACCCTGGTTAATGATTTTCCCCCTGTTGTGGAAAAGGGCTGTCTTGGGAGTTTGGGGTTTGTTCTTTTTTTTTTTTTCCCAAATAAGCAATTTGCCTAATCCTCTAACCTGAGTGCACCACTTCCAAATAAAGTTGGATCACTTACAGTATCCTAAAAGGAGTAAAGCTCACAGGTCAGCTCTTCCTCATGGGCCAGATTGTGAAATCATTCTCCATAGGGTCAGGAGGGCATGACAGCAGAGCCTTCCTGGGTACATCGTGTAGTCAAACAATGCTCTGGGTTTGTCTCCCACCTCCAGCTTCTCACGAATAACAGTGGTAGCCTGGGGTTCGGAACAATGCAGAGCTAATGACCAAAAATGCTTTTTGTGGCTAAACATAACTCAGAACACCATGGCTAGAATGGGCCTTGGAGAATTCCAAGTCCCGCCTTCCAAATATTGATTGAAGAGGTTCTCCCACAGTGTTCTAAGCACTGCGCCTCTTCTCCACCCAGCAATCATAGGGCACTTCATCACAGCAAATTGTATTTGAAAACCATCCCTTTTTGTTTGTCTGTTCTGGGTTAGTTTGGAGTTTAATATTGCTATTACCTCCCTAACAGCAACCATATGCACAGAAATGATTTTGGGGATAGTTGCTGTTGGTTTGTGAGTATATGTGTTTTAAGGATAAAGGGCTTGCTTGGAACTTAGGACCTCTGTCCTCAAGTCTTCTGTACCCCACTGCTGAAGGAGCTCTTTCAAAAACAAATAAATAAATAAAAACCCACCATTTTGCTGGGCATAAAGACAGTGATACACCTGGAGTTAGGAAAATCTGATTTCAAATCATACCTTTTCCACTTACCAACTTTGTGACCAGTGGCAAATCCAAAATTTGAGCTTTGGATTCTCCATCTGTAAAATGAAGTTTAAAAAAATGGATAAAATGGATTTTTAAAAAAAGCTAAAACAACAAGGTTGTTGTATGACTTAAATAATATGGTATATATATATATATAAAGCATTGTGGAAACCTTAAAGGGCTATAAGGCTATTATTATTACTGCTATTATTATTATATTCCAGACAGACTGCCTTTCTTGATATCTCCCATGGCCTTGGTGTCAAGAAAGACTTGCATTTTAACTTTCAGCTCTGACACATACCAGCTGTGACATCCTAGACAAATCTCGTAACTGCTCAGTTCCTCAGGCAACCCCCTAAGGCTACAAATTGCAGAATAGTTGCCAATCCACATTACTCACACATTTCTCTCCTTGATTATCCCCAAGCCAATTAAATCAAAGACCTGGACAAAAAAAAAAAAATGGTGGTAAGAACAAATTCCATTAATGCCCTAAAGGGAAGGATATGTAGGCAAAAGGAAACATTAGTTTTGGTTGGGAAAATGTGCCATCCTTCTTACTAAGGTTTTCTTCACAGCCTTCCTGGTACAGACTTTTCAGGTAAACCTGGTAGAATACATGTACCATTTAATCTTCTAGCTCCTATGCCTCTCTATCTACTTGTCCCAGGTACATTGATCACACCTGGACAACCCAGACTACAGATGAGAGAAAGATCCCAGTTGCAGAAAATGGGCTTGGGACAGCTAAGTACCACAGTGGATAGAGCACCAGCCCTGGAGTCAGGAGGACATGAGTTCAAATGTGGCCTCAGACACTTACTAGCTGTATGACCCTGGGAAAGTCACTTAACCCCAATTGAAAGAAAGAAAATGATCTAGGATTTGGAATAAGTCATCATTCATTCAATCAACAAGCATTAACTATATGCCAGGCATGTAAGTTCTGAGGATATGAAGACATGTACAAACACACAAACAGTCCCTGCTCTCAAGCTTACCTTTTATAAAAGAAAAACAACACACACACATAAAGCTTAAGTTTCAAAACCCTAAAGCATTTTATGAGCTGCTACTTAAGTGAGACTCCTCTCATTGGTGGAAAGGATGATTAGTTGACATTGTACTTGTATGATAGACAAAGCTGGTACAAGAACTTGGGAGAAGAGAGACCTTCTTGTTTCCTGCTTCAAGATGGACAACATGGTTTCAGACCCTCCTTGGGGAGAAATCCAGAAAGAGAGACAAGACTTGGAGTAGGAACAGATACGTAGAGAAGTCAATGCCTCAACATGTCTCTGATTTCTAGATTCTCTCTCTAGAGACTTCAAGAAATTTCTTTGGATAAACTCTGGAACGTTTTCATTTCATCTTGATCTCAGTGAGAAAGTGCGTTCATTCTGTGTGTCTAGTATATTCTAATCTGAACAACCTGTTATTTTTGTTTGCTATCTACTTGGATAAATGATTCACTATTTGTGATAGTCTTTTGAGTAAAACTAGCATTTAGCGGGAAGAAACCAATACTTCAGACACGAACTTGAGGAACTCCTTCCACTCTGAGGGAGAGTGACCAGGAAAGCAGAATTAACTTAAGAATAAAATCATTTCTCAGGGCAGTTAGGTGGCTCAGTGGATAGAGCACCGGCCCTGAAGTCAGGAAGAGCTGAGTCCAAATCCCGCCTCAGACCAAACACTTGACACTTACTAGCTGTGTGACCCTGGGCAAGTCACTTAACCCCAATTGCCTAAAAAAAAAAATCATTTCTCTTAGACCAATAATATTTGAAGGGAGGAAGAAATAAATAAAATTCTAGTCTGGTACTTATCTTGGGGAGAAGAACAGAGCAGCCAGCCCCCTGGCCCAGTCACTGGCTCCCCAGTGGGCAAGAATCACCATCTCCCTTGGAAAGGGATGTTATCCAGTCTTAGACTTGTCAATTAATGCCTCCTAGTGGGCAACATTTAAACAAACTCATGTGGACATACATAAAACTTACATGGGCAATATATACATGTTACACACAGAAAAGTAAATATGAAATATATGGAAAGTCATTTCCAAGGAGGAGGCCACTAGCAACTTCAGATATGACAATAGGCTTCCTATAGGAGTCAATATCTACTATGTGCTGGGTACTATGCTAAGTGCTAGGAGAAGGTACTTGAGCTGAGATCTGAAGGAAGCTAGGGATTGTATAAGGCAGAGGTAAGGAGAGAGTGCATTCACATATGGAAGATGATGAGGACACAAAGATCCCCTCTTGAATATATCCTGTGTCTCGTTTCTAGATCAACACAGAACCAGACCAACTTCCTGTCCATGAAGAAACCTAGGAAAATACAGACACACAATCTGAGGTCCCTTTCAGGCATAAAATTCTATGATTCATTACCAGTTATTGGTAGCTAAGCATTTCATTCCATTTATGGGCGTCTCTTTTCTACAGTGATCCAAAATATGTCTATGTAATTTCTACTCACTGATCTTAGTTCTAAAATAATTCTATTTCCTCTCCCATCTAACAAACCTTCAAATGTTTGCCCCCAAATATATGCCCTTAAATCTTCTATTCTGCCTTGTTCCTTCAGCCATTTTTAACAGTTTCCTGTCCCTTCACCATCCCAGACACCCTGCTCCGCATATATTCTAATTTATCAGAGTCCTTCATAATACACATTACCCATACCTGAATACCCTGCATTGCTGGTCTGGTCAAAGTGGAGTAGAGTAGAACTGTTAACTGCCATTTTTCACAACTGAATTAGTGTCAACTGATTAATTGATTGACTGAGTGACTGAATTATGCCCTGTTATTTGTATCCTCACAATGGCAAGAGGCATGGTGGAACCCAATGCCCAGCACATTGGGTAAAACCTCTGTGGTAAAATTATGGAAGAACAGAGGCAAGAATTTTAAAGATGGACAGATATAAGTGAGTTGAGATATGCATAAACTATGACGAGATCACAAACCAATTGAGGTATGAGCACCAACTAAAATCCTACATCTTTTTCAAATAAGCAGCTATTAAGCCATACATCCCCATTCTGTATTTGGGTAGTTGAATTTTTCCTAGCACAAATGTAGGACTCTGCAAGTATTTCAATTGAATTTTAGCTTGTCAATTTCAGTTTTGTTTTGACTTGTCAAAATATTGTCAAATCTTGATAGTTTCAATTAATGCATCTTCAGCTTTGTGTCTTATGGACACTTGATAAATGCCTTCTTTGTTTCATCCAAGTTATTGAACTGGATAGGATCAAGAAAAGAACCCTGCAGTAAATTGCTAGAAGTCTCCCTCTGTTTTGACATCAGAGTTGTTCAATCATCTATGAATCTACCTCTACAATTATCTGACTAGTATTTCTAAATCCTTTCTAAAAGGATATTATGGTGTGCTTTGTTAAATATTTTCTTGAAATTAAGAAATTATCTCTATAGAATTTCCTTAAACTTTCAGTCTGGGCTGTTTTTCACCAGATCTATAATTTTACCATTGCAGAGTACTGCCAGTGGGGGACTTCCCCCAACAATGCAAATCAGCACCTTCTTTGCAATTTATATTCTTGGTTTCCTGGGGCGTTGAGAGGTTAAGTGACTTGCCCAAAGTCATACAGTCAGTAATTGTCAGAGGTAGGACTTCAAAAAGGTCTTTCTGACTCCAAATCCAACTAACAATTATATCATGCTGCCACACATCAATCTAGATATACTATCACAAAGGGATCTGCAGAGAGTTTGGCATGACTTTTTCCTCTGTGATCCCTTGATAACACTTAGTGATTACCACTTTCCTTTCTAAGTGATCACAAAACACAAGTTTAATTGTACAAGATTGTGATGGATTGGGCAAGTTGGTGGTTAGCAGTTAAGGACATCCTGTAGCTAGGTGGAGACACAGGTCTAACATTCAAAAGAAAGGCTATTTGATAATTAAATAGGGATGAATGAGGATATTAAAGTAGAGGAGAACAGAAGAGAAGAGAAGATGAGAGATGAGACAGAATGGGATAGAACAGAATATAAGGTGAAGCAAGTCAAGGTGAGATAAGAGGAGAAGAGAAAGGCCTCGTTGAGCCTTGGACAACTATTAGTTG